GTATCTCTCGTTCCCCCCTGGACTAATCACCCATTCTATATCCTCGCATCTCGTCTTCGCTATTACAATTTCTAATTGCTTATTTAAATTTGGTATGGTCTGCCCTATCTGTACTACTTGGCAGGGGTCGAGTGAAATACCTTAACCAAAAAGGTAGGTGGCAGATCCTATGGGGCATTAGGGAGACTCTGATAAGTCCTTTGGGAGGAGGATTGAGGAATAATATGTCAGACTCTTATTAAACTTCCCAGCACAAAAGTGAAGGGGCGTGAGGTGAGGTGAAAGCTAGCGTGTTATGTGGAGATTTCTCATGAAATCCGCTTAAAAGTGCACAACATACTACATTTAAGTAGGCAAATAAAAAATTGTGATACGAGGATATAGGGTTGGTGATTAGCTCAGGGCGGAGGAGAAGCTACCACAATTGTTTAGCAGACAATTGGTCAAAGTATCGGCTTCAGTTTTCTCTTTGACGAATTTTAGCGTGGTGCTAATATCGACAAGACTCACTGACGATGCCAACTACAATGCCGGTGAAACGTCTGGCAATGTAGCATGTATACAGTCTGACTGGAAATTATTATGCATTCCATGGACTCCGAACTAGCCGCGTTCCCCAATTAGAAATTGTAATAGTGAAGACGAGATGCGAAGATATAGAATGGGTGATTAGTCCAGGGGGGAACGAGAGATACCACGATTGTTTAGCAGACAATTGATCAAATGATCGACTTCACATGTCTCTTTCACGAGCTGTGGTGTGGTGCTAAGATTGCCAAGGTTCACTGAAGAGGCTGACTACGATGCCGGCGGAGCGTCTGGAAATGTATCACCTCCACAGTCCGACTTTGGAAATGATCATGCATACGTTGGAATACAGACTAGGTGCGTTCCTTTAATCGTCCACGGTCCGACTCTGGAAATAATTATGCATACAATGGACTGAGGACAACGTGTGTTTCTATCAATCGCCTACCAATATGACCGAGTTGCGAAAACAAGGTCAAACAACTTCTATACAACGAAAGGAGACTGCGACCAAACAAAAGGCCACACCATCTTGGTCTTCATAT